CTATAAATTGATTAAAATATAGCAGAATACAAGGTTTGTAAAGTTGTGATTTTATGGATTTGTCTGATGCATTTGGCTCCATGGTTATCTAGTTATCTATGATTTATATTTATTTATTTTATTTATTTTACTTCAAATTTATATACCGCCCTTCTCCCTAGGGATTCAGGGCGGTGTACAGCCAAATAAAAACACATAATAAATACATTAAGAACAGATTAAAAGGAAATATCTCAATTTGGCCCAAAATTTAAAAAGACAAACAAATTTAAAATCATTTAAAGGATTTGTTAGGCCAGCCCGGCTTGTTGGAAAAGGTAAGTTTTAAGGGCACAGCGGAAGGCACGGAGGTCATGGATTCTCCTTATCTCTGGGGGCAGCTGATTCCAGAGGGTGGGAGCCCCCCACAGAGAAGGCCCTCCCCCTGGGGGTCACCAGCCTGCATTGCTTGGCTGATGGCACCCCGAGGAGGCCCTCTCTGTGGGAGCGCACGGGTCGATGGGAGGTCGTCTATGGCAGAAGGCGGTCTCGAAGATAACTAGGTCATATGCCATGGAGCGCTTTAAAGGTGGTAACCAACACCTTGAAGCGCACCCAGAAGACCACTGGGAGCCAGTGCAGCTCATGCAGGAGCGGTGTTATGCGGGAGCGCCATGCAGCTCCCATAATTACCCGCGCGGCCGCATTCTGGACCAGTTGGAGATATAGGTTTATCTTTCTTAATTCATTAAAAGAATCCACCATTGTTAAGAAAAAGAATATTAGAATAAAGTATAGAAATTATGTGCTAAAAATCATAGAATGGTTTGTATATCTATTTCAGAGGTGGGATTCGCTTACCTTCCCTACCGGTTCGCAAATGTAAACGTGCGCGCGCACGACCTTTGCGCATGTGCATAGCCTTCCGCGCATGTGCAGTACTCATGCATTATGTCCGGGTGGGTGGGCGGAGCCTCCCGCAGTCGCCACTACTGGCTCTCCTGAACCAGACAGAACCAGCTGAATCCCACCTCTGATCTAGTTCCATCTGTAGCTACTGTATATCTGCTCAGCTGATAATAACTGTCTGAAGGTTGCATCACAGAGCTACTGAATAACTAAAAAAATGGAATACTATTCTTCTTCATCATTGGCCAGTCCTGAAATCTCTTTTTTTTCTATGGATAGATACGGCCTGTTTCTGTGTGCAACCCTTCCTGTCTTCCTGGTTTTTGGAAAGAAAAGAAAGAAGGAGAGAAATTTTGTTGTTTCAACTGTGTTCCATGCCCAGAAGGGAAGATTTCAAACCAGAAAGGTATGCAATTTCTAAATATAGATAGCCTCCCCTTTCTACTCTTCCAAAAAAAAAAAAAATGCCTACTTCTTTATAAGTTTTCAACTGGGATGATTAGGGGACTGGAGACTAAAACATATGAAGAATGGGATTTGAACCGCTGAACTGCCGACCTTCTGATCGACAAGTTCAGTGTTTTAGCCACTGAGCCACCGTGTCCCTTACATGACCATGAGGATGCTCCAAAGGTCATTAAATGTGAAAAACTGTCACAAATCACTTTTTTCAGTGCCATTGTAACTTTGAGCAATCATTAAATGAACTGTTGTAAGTCTGTATAGCAAATGTTTGGGTTGATGAAGGACCAGCCAATGGAGGAAGAACCAGAAAATGTATGATTTCTTGTTGTTTTCCTCAGATATGAATGACTGCTTCAAATGTCCAGAGGATCAATATCCAAGCAGACAGCATGACCACTGCGTTCTCAAAACTATAATTTTCCTATCTTATCAAGATCCCCTAGGAGCTTGTTTAGCATTTCTTGCTCTATTTTTTTCCCTTCTCATACTTTTCTTGCTAGGAATTTTCATCAAGCACAGAGATACTCCAATTGTCAAAGCGAACAATAGAGAACTCACTTACACCCTCCTTGGATTCCTCCTTCTTTGTTTTCTCTGCTCTTTTTTATTTATTGGACAACCCGGGACAATAACCTGTCTATTCCAGCAAGCAGCTTTTGGCTTCGTATTCTCAGCAGTGGTTTCTTGCATCTTGGCCAAAAACATCACAGTCATTGTGGCTTTCATGGCCACCAAACCAGGCTCCAGCTTGAGAAAGTGGATGGGAAAAAAATTGGGCAGATGTATCATTCTTTCTTGCTCCCTTTTTCAAGCAACTATCTGTGTAGTATGGTTGGTCATCTCTCCTCCTTTCCCAGATCTGGACCATAACACTCTAATCACTGAAATTATAGCTGAATGCAATGAAGGTTCTTCCAACATGTTTTATCTTGTCTTGGGTTACTTGGGCCTTTTGTCCATCATCAGTTTCATGGTGGCTTTCCAAACTAGGAAGTTGCCGGATAACTTCAATGAAGCCAAGTTTATCACCTTCAGCATGCTGATTTTTTGTGCTGTTTGGTTTTCCTTCATTCCAGCCTACCTGAGCATCAAAGGGAAGTATATGATAGCTGTGGAGATCTTCTCCATTTTAGCTTCCACTTTTGGACTACTGGGTTGTATATTTTTCCCCAAATTTTACATTATTGTGCTGAGACCTGAGTTGAATTCCAAGGAGCACTTAATAAAAACAAAGACTTAAAAATTATTCATTTGTGTCTCTTTTGTCAGCTTGGGAAGCCATATTAACACCAGAAGCTTCCACGCTGCCACCTTCTTGCGCTTGGGAAAGTAGGAGGGGGGATTTAGTAGAGAGATTGTAGTTAGACATAATAGTATTCTACTTTTCGGTCAAGGTCATGGTGTTCCTGCATCTGGATGAGGAGTGGTTGTAGTGGTGGCTCAACTTGGGACGGATGGTGATTGGGCCATGTGATGGACTGATGGGTGCAGGGGCTGGATTTGGGGTTTTGATTTACTGAGGGAAAACATGGAACTCTCAGATTCGGGTTTTCCCAGATGTGCCAGTATACCTGCTCTAATAAATGGAAGATTTGAGATGATCCCTGTCTCGAAGTTTTCCATTGGAGTTGGGTTGTTCTGCAGGGTTGACATCTTTATTTTGAAAGATCTGCCTCTACAAGGAGGCAATATAGGGCTGAATGCAGATGAGGAATGAGGACAGTGAACTGGAAAAAGTTCAATGAGAAAACACCAAGAGCAATGAGGAATGTTCACACCGACTCATTTATCACCTAATTTTTTAAAATCTCTATCTCCCCATTTATCTCCCAACTTTCCCATTCATCTGAAAAAATTTACATGGCGTTCACAAACACTGGTTTGCTTTGAAGGTGCTCAGAGTAGAATTATGACCATAAATTAATGAAATTGATTTTATTTATTTATTTATTTATTTATTTATTTATTTATTTATTTATTTATTTATTATATTTCTATGCCACCCACTCTCTGAGGACTCTGGGTGGCTTACAACAATTGACAGTATACTAAATAGCATATTGCCCCCAACAATCTGGGTCCTCATTTTACCCACCTCGGAAGGATGGAAGGCTGAGTCAACCTTGAGCCGATGAGATTTGATCTGCTGATCTGCTGAACTAGCAGTCAGCTGAAGTAGCTGCAGTACAGCACTCTAACCACTGTGGCACCTCGGCTCTATAACAATAACACAATAGTTATCCTTTCCTATATCTATCCAAGCCACAGGACAGTTATTGTACACTTTCACCAGCACAAAATGTAAAGATGATTGTCAGTTGGGATGACTTTAACAGGCATTTGACAAATTCATGGAAGATACATCCAACAGTGGCTAATATTGCATGGAAATTTCACTCACTCAAATGAACGATTGTTCAAAACATATCAACTCAGTTCTAGTTGGGGCTTCAAAACTGCAGTAAGTTCAAAATGCACAACCTGTATACTTTCAGGTTCCTGACAACATAATACAAGTTTTGCATGGATCACTAACTGATTTCCACAACCAATTTTAGGCACAATTTTAGGCACCTGTAATGCTCTCCATGAAATGGCTTCCAGATAGATATGGACAATCTTGGCTCAACCAATTATATCACAGAGAGAGATTGTTGACCATCCCTTGTTTTAAGGAGGTTTGGAGAGCTGAAGCAAGGAGAGAAAATTGCAGAGCCAAAACTGTAGAACGGCCTTCTGTTTTGTTGGCCTTTGAAAACTCTTGAAATTTTGGAGTCTTTTGCATATTTGGTTTGATTTCATCTTGCCATCTGTCCTGTCTCAGACCACACACACACACACACACACACACACACACACACACACACACCACATATCTCAGACACAGACACACACAGACACTCAGTTGCAAGATACCTCAGAATAAAAGTGGCAGAGTTTCAGGAGCATGACAATGGTTCAGATGCAACAAGGGAAACAACTAGCTATGGCTAGTTGTTCACAACTCCAGGGGGCAGTGCTCATCTTTGTTTCAAAGCTGAAGATCCAGCGCTGTCCGAAGATATCTCTGTGGTCATGTGGCCAGCATGACTAAACGCCAAAGGTGCATGGAGCACTGTTACCTTCCCATCACAGGTGGTCCCTATTTTCTTACTTGCATTTTTTATGTGATTTCAAATTGCTAGGTTGGCAGAAGCTGGAACAAGTAATGGGAGCTCACCCCGTTATGCAGTACTAGGGATTCGAACAGCTGAATTGCTGACCTTTCGATCGACAACCTCAGCGTCTTAGCCACTGAGCTACCACGTCCCTTACCTCTGTACTTACATTTAAATTTGATACTTCTTTAAATGCAATTGTGTCATTTCAGACAATTTATATGGATGCTTAGAAAACTTTCATTGATTGACTTGAGACTAGCTGGTCTCTGGCTTTCCTCAAAACATATTACCCCACTAAGTTCTGTGAGCCTCCCTTGGAAGTTGTTGGAATAGAGAACAGGATTTCCCATAAATCCAGATTTCCAAGTAAATCAGAATGGTAAAACTACACCTATCTGAATAACTTAAACATATATTTGAATTTTGATATTTCTCCTCTCAACTTAAAAACATAACAAAAAGAAAAGAAAAGAAAAGAAAAAGCATTTAAACACATCTTCTTATCAGTTGCTCCTTGTTATTTAAATCAGACCTGAATACAATAATGTAACACTTGGGGAAAAAGATGCAACCTAGGAGCCCAGCACTGGAGGACAAAATGGAGAAGATCTCCACAGCCACCATGGCTTTTCCCCTAGTAGTCAGGTATGACGGGACAAAGGAGACCCACACACTGCAGAAAGCCAACATGCTGAAGGTGATGAACTTGGCTTCATTAAAGCTGTCAGGCAGTTTACGAGCCTGGAAAGCCACAATGAAGCTGGCAAGTGAAAGGAGGGCCATATAGCTCAGGACACAATAAAACATAACAACTGATCCCTCATTACATTGTAGGACCATTTCTTCAGTTGTTGAATGCATGTCTAATTCTGGGAATGGGGGAGAGGTGGATAACCAAACAATACAGATGCTTGCTTGGAATAGAGAGCAGAGAAGGACAATAGAAACAGCCAGTCTTTTCCCCACCCATGTCCTCATCCGAGATCCTGGCTTGGTGGCCTTGAAGGCAAGAGAAACAAGGATAGTTTTGGCCAACACACAGGAGATGCACAATGAGAAGGTGAGGCCAAATGCAGACTGTCTGAGGAGACAGGTGACTCTCCCAGGTTGTCCAAGAAAGAGCAAAGGGCAGAGGAAGCAGAACAGAAGGGAAATGAGGAGAGTGTAGGTGAGATCCCGGTTATTGGCTTTGACAATCGGACTGTCTTTGTGCTTCATAAAAGTTCCCAGCACCCATGTTGTAATGAGGAAAAACACAGCAGCAAGAGAAGCTAAACTATACCCTAAAGGTTCTTCATAAGACAGAAAGTTTATCCTTTTCAGGCGACATCCATTTTTTCCTTGATTTGGATACTGATCTTCTGGACATTGGACACAAGATACCATGTCTGAAATTGAAAAAAGAAAAAGACACGTGTTGTAATCAGGAAAAATAAAATAGCAACAGTGACTAAACTGAGTCCTAAATATTCTTTATAAGACAAGCAAATAATTTTTTCATGATGCATCCAACTTTGTAATGATGTGTGTGTTATTTTCAGAGCACTGAAAGTAAGTCAGAATGTCTAAAAAGAAAAAAAATTTAGATTCATGAGACAGAGAATTAATGCCATGCTTAGAATCATATAATTTTCAATGAACTTCTTCATTGTCTCATTCCACTTCCAAATACAGTGATACTTTGGTACTCAACTGCTTTGAAACTCTTTGAATTTGGCATTTTGACAGGAAAAATTTGTCCCGGTATTCATTGTATGTTCAGTACTCAACACACAAGCTGGAACTAGTCAGTTTTATCTGCATTGTGACTCACTATATTATTCATTGTGGGGAAGAATTGTTTGGTACTCACCCAACTTGCCATGGTCAACTGAGCATGGCCAACTCACCATGGCAAATTCATGGTGCGACAACTTGCCATGGCATACTCACAACTCATCACGGGACAATTCAGCAATTCAATGTAAGTATTTAAAATAATTTTTAAAATAATTTAATTTTGGTCATTCACATTTCATTTTGTCCCTCCTTTGGCATCCTTTCTTTAATGATTCAATTCCACCATTTCTTTGCTATAAATGCAACTCTTGTCCTGCGGTGGCTTGTCCTGTAGCAAATTGGCCAAGGCAAAATGTCCCACTGTGAGTTGGCTGCACTGAGATGGCTGTGCCGAGTTGTCCTAGACCAGCGATGGCTAACTTTTTTGCTGTCATGTGCCATGTACCATGGGGGGTCACAGGCACGCGTGCCCACATCCATAATTCAATGTGCCCACCCTCCTGCGCATGTGCATGCAACCCCCCATGCTCCCCCCTGCTTTTGGCATGCGATGGCACAGTGGGCCTGCCCATTTTTCACCGCCCCCCCAGGCTCCAGAGGCTTTCTTGGAGCCTGGGAAGAGTGAAAATGGCCTTCCCCACCCTGCCGGAAGCCTTCTGGAGACTGGAAACGGCCCATTTTCCAACTTCCGGTGGGACTGGAAGGCCCATTTTTCACCCTCCCCAGGCTCCAGAGGCTTTCTAGGAGCCTGGGGAGGGTGAAAACAGCCTTCCCCACCACCCCTGGAGGCCCTCCGGAGGCCGGAAACAGCTCATTTCCTGACTTCCAGTTGGACCAGAAGGCCCGAAATCAGCTGGCCGGCACGCACATGTGTGCTGAAGCTGAGCTAGGGCAACACTCATGTACCCACCGAGATGGCTCCGTGTGCCACCTGTGGCATGCGTGCCATAGGTTCGCCATCACGGTCCTAGACCTTCATTTTTGGTTCTCATTATATCTTGAACAAATTAATGTTGAGTACTGAGGTACCACTGTAAAATGACATGAATGCACAACCTGAACAAAAAACAGATTAGCTGAAGGTATTAAGTGATTTCTGTGGAAGTCTGTCTGAAATTTCAACTTCATCTCTATAACAAAAAAAATCAGAGTACTTTGTCAAATTACCCATCTCTTTGGAGATTTTCCCCTCTGGACATGGAACACAATCATAGCAGCAGAATTTTTTCCCTTCATTCTTCCTCTTCTGATAACCAAGGTGACAATAGTCATTGCACAGAGAAACGGGAAGGACCTAATTATCAATATTAAATGTTGGAAGATGAAGATGTATTATTTTGAAGAAAAAATAGTTATTACACTGTAAATAAAATGCTCTATTATATTAAAAGGAATATACTAACCAAAGGATTAACAAAAGGATCAAAAATCAATTTATTTGAAAATACAGTTGGGTTCATTTTAATTGGAAATTTAATTTGAATTTGTGAGCATATTTGATCTGGATTTCCAGGTTTTTCAATTATCAGGATTTCAATATGGGATATTTCATTAATTCAATTCATTGAATGAGAAAAATTGAGTCAATCAAATTCCCTTTAAATCAAAGCACTGATGTATCTTCACTCAAACATGGTAATGTAGTCACTTAAATACATGTGTTTTTTTTTCACATTTTTTTTCAATTTTTAAGGAAAGTATAATAAGTAATGTGCAAAAAATATATTTGTCTTAGTTTTTAACAGTAAAAGTTGAAAGAATGTTCTTCTTGATTTTTATAAGTTGTCTGGAAGAAAAACACTAAATATCCCAACCAAATAAACCCATCTTACAATGGCCATACAATTCCATGCATCCATACCTGGTTAAACAATCTGTGCCAAACTATCATGTCCTCATTTATGTCTAATTCCTTTCCTTTGAGAGCATTAGGGTTCACTCTTCCAACCTGTACTCTCTGGTAAGTGGAATTGGGAAAGACAGCTATATTTATAATATCAAATCCACCCTCCATCTTCTTTTGATCATAAAACGTCAAGGTCTCACCAAGAGAATTATTGAATTTCATGCCTTTCAGAAATCGGTGGAGCTAGATTATTGGGATGAATAAAATAGGAAACTAAAGTAATTTTGTCATAGAAGTACTATACTTTTGAGGGAGAAACTCTGAAAACATAGACAATCTATTTGTCCAACATGTTGAGAAACTGTTTACTGCCCTCAACATAGGGGGTACTGTCAACTCGCAAAACATCCCTTGCCTGCTCTCGAGTTGCCATAGGTAAGGGGGATGGGAAACTGGCAAAGCAGTACAGCTGCCAAAAACACATTCCAGACATATCTCTCTCAAGGCTGTTTCCCAGGGTTATCTACAGCAGCCGGAGTGGAGTGATCTCTACAACCCACAAAATTGTTCCATTGGTGAATGTGACTGATGACACACCCTGGGGGAAGGGAGGAAACAGGGTCAAGATTGGGTCATAAATTACATGGGGTCAGAGTTGGCCTCACTTGGAATGTGCTGGCATTAAGCTCCTAAAAAATGACTGGATTTCTTTTGAAGCTCGGCTCAAGGCTCATGGTTTAATTAGGGTATCCATTGGAACCCTGACAGGGTAGCATAATAAGACGGTTTCAATACTTCAATTTAAGGAATAGTCAAATAAAAGGTAAAATGGATTCTAGGCTAGCACAACCCCTTGATCCCAGTCCCAGGAAGAGGCATATAAAAAACTGGAGAAACAATTTTCAGACCTGCTCCTCATTTCCCATCTATTTTCATTTCATGTTATTCTCATAGATATAAGGCTGGTAAGGATGTGCTAAGGACTGAACAACAGCTAAGGAGCATTCATTTACTATCTTCATCAATAGGTGAAATTCCTGAATAGATATAGGGCAGTGATGGCTAACCTTTTTGCCATTGCATGCCAGGAGTGGGGGGGGGAGCTTGGGGGTGGGGTGTCACACGCACCTGTGTCCACACCCATAGTTCTATGCGCCCTGCCCCTTGCATGTGCGTGTGACCTCCCCACGCTGCCCACGTTCCTGGCACGTGATGGCCCAGTAGGCCCGTTTTTCTCTCTCTCCAAGCTCCAGAGCCTTTCTAGGAGTCTGGGGAGGGCAAAAATGGCCTTCTCCATGCTCCAGAGGCCACCCAGAGGCCAGAAATGTCCCATTTGCCAACTTCTGGTGAGACCAGAAGGCCTGTTTTTTGCTGTCTCCAGGCTCCAGAGCCTTTCTAGGAGACTAGGGAGGGCGAAAATAGCCTCCCCACCCCCATGGAGGCCTTCCAGAGGACAAAAATGGCCCATTTGCCAACTTCTGGGCCCAAACAGGCCATTTCCAGCCTCCGGATGGCCTCCAGGAGGGTGGGGAAGGCCTTTTTCACCCTCCCCAGACTCCTAGAAAGGCTCTGGAGCCTGGGGAGAGAGAAAAACAGGCCTTCCCCACACACCCCAAAGCCCTCCGGAGGCAGGAAACAGCCTGTTTCTCTACTTCTGATGGGCCCAGAAGGCCCAAAAATCAGTTGGCTGGCACGCGCATGTGTGCCTGGAGCTGAGCTCACATGCCCACTGTTCACAATCAAGGATATAGGGCTTTGAAAACCAGAAGATGCGTTCAGGGGTCTCCAAGCCCTGGTCTGTGTATGAGTCCACAACCTGTTGGGAACTGGGCTGGGCAAGCGGTGGGCAAGCACACAAATTTCATCTGCACATGCACAGGATTGTGTGCACAGGTTGTGCACACAAAACCATCTCCCCTTCTGCCACTGCCACCGCTGCACCCACTGCCAAACCATGGAGCTAGAAAGGTTGGGGATCACTGTCTTGGTTCATTCAAGTTTTAATCCTTGCATCCTGAAGATGTCCAAGGAATAAAATGGAAAACCTATTACTGTGAACTTAAATCCAACAACAACATAGAAAAATTCAGCTGAATTCAGTTTTTTATTTGCTTACACTCAATAGACAGAATCGTTCCTGATTTCTAAACCCTTACTATTCTTATCCTAACAGATATAACCTGAGAGATTCAAAGTATGGCTATTCTAATTCCTTTCTATCTTTTTTTTTTAATATCCGGGCTGTGTGTCTCTTATCTCCCTCAACTTTCTGGAATGTGTTCCCTTCTTCCTGGGAATCTGACTGTTCACTGTAGTCCATCAAACCAGCTCTACTTCTACAAACATCATTTCTATCAATACAAAGATGCAAATAAAGATAAATACAATCAATGGACATTAATATCTGCTTCTTCCCTGTTGAATCGTGCACCCTAACTTTACTATGACCTAGTGCAAAGTATTTGTAGCACACAAATCACCTGCCATGATTGTGAATCTTGATGTGCTGATAATTTATGCCTCAAAAAATGCCTGTGGTTAGATCGAAGTATGGAAATAGTATGTAAAGCTTGAGCCAATACATAGACTGCATTATAGATACTATAGCTGTGCCCAGACATTTCCAGCTCAAAAAGAGCTCTAGGAATGTCCTTCATCCTCTCCTTTCCAGTACAAATTTCACTGTCCGGAAGGGTCAAAGTATGAGTTGGCAATGAACAATCAAATACTTGTTCCCAGAAAAGTGGAAAAAATCTATCTTCTTGAATCCAAGGAGGTTTTATGAACTTCAGGAATTCCTTGAACCCTGGAATGTCTTTGGAGTGAATTGTAAAAAAAATGGCACCGTCCAAACACTGGGCAGGCAAACTCCTTGTTTGCATGCCCGTTAACAAATAGACAATCTGGGCAGTCATGATCCACACCTTTCCCAAGGAACTCTGCTTGTGTCTAGGATGAAACATGAATACAGTATTAATGATCCATGCAATTGTCAATGTTTCGCCACAGACGATAAAGGTATTGATCTTCTCATCAGCTATGTGCTTGTAAATATTTTCCCCTATAAGGTACATTTCAGATAAATTGTCCCAGTGGGTTAAATAGGGAATTCTTTGTGTACAAGCAGAGCAGATTCCATGCTGGGAAAAGAGAGACTCCATGGTCTCCAGAAAATATTCTCCGTGTCTATTATCAATAGCAAAGAGCCCAACCCATCTCCACCCAAAATGTTGAAGCAGTCGGATAATCCCAATGTATTGTGAAGACTCATTCGGAACCATGGAGTAATAAATGGGAATTTCAGCACTATGAATATCCTTTGGGGCAAATGACCCATATGTGAGCTAAAAGAAAATAAATACCTATTATGTACTATCATCATCATCATCACCATCATCATCAATTTCTCTTTTTCTATTCGGAAAAGTATATTTCTTGATAAATTTGGTCACATTGTGGCAGTGGTGAAATCCAAATTTTTTTACTACCGGTTCTGTAGTAAACTACTACTGGCTTGGTGGACATGATGTGGCTTGGTAGGCATGGCTTGGTGGGCATGGCAGGGGAAGGATACTGCAAAATCCCCATTCCCAACCCACTTTGGGGCCAGCCAAAGATGGTATTTACCGGTTCTCCGAACTACTCAAAATTTCCGCTGCCAGTTCTCCAAACTGCTCAAAATCTCTGCTACCGGTTCTCCAGAACCTGCTGGATTTCACCCCTGCATTGTGAGCTATGTGGGCATTGTTCAGAATATAATCTTTTTTTTTTCATCACCCTCATTTGGAAAAAAGGAAGGAGGAGGGAATTTTCATACCTCTGTTCTCAAAGATCCTACCTGTGGATTTCATCTTTCATTAAACAGTGTGTCATCTGGGTACAAATTTTTTGTGCAATAGCCATTAACATTGGTTTAACCATTAAAAATGAACCATGTTCATTATTTATCTATGTTTGAATTAATACTAATATATAACATATCTACTATTGTAACATTTCTCTTTTTAGCTTATTTGACTTTGTAATACATTTTTGATATTTCATTCCTATGTTTTTTATTTTTAGTTTTCATATTTATTCTCTAACCATTGATAAAATAACTCCCATATACTATAATATTAGAATGTGCAGAAATGAATAGATTAACACTTGCAATTAAAGGAAAGGAAGAAGCGGGCTACCTGTGGAATCTTGTAAAACTGTATAAGGTCTGCAATATAGGATGAGGTTTCAGAGCTGAGTCCCCCAATGACAGAAATGAGATTTTTCCTGGTGTCACACTTGTAGTTGGGGATGAATTTCCGTGACTTGTAGAGGAGGTCTAGAGTGGTCCGATAGGTCATCATTGCATTGTAGTAGCTGTCATGGATATGGAAGCCAAAAGTGACGTTGGACAAGATTTTTGGATTCTTATTGATCTCCTTCACAGCAAATACCAAGGCAAGGACATGCTGGTAGAATTTTGTTATCACGCTGAAAACAGGATAATTTATACGTGTCATTAAACATTTCTAATTCTTGCCATTTTCCTGTAATCTCACGGAGGTGCTTCAGTCAATATTCAAGGACAAAGGAAGAACAGCCATTTCAAAGCTATTGCCATCTCTACTGAACTGAACTAAAGGAAAATGATTCTGGGACTCAGCATTCTGGATCAATGGGTGCCAAATGAAAGGAAACTACAGTGGATGGATAAGAAAATGAGGAATGAAGAAACATCAATAATAATAATAATAATAATAATAATAATAATAATAATAATAACAACAACAACAACAACAACTTTATTGTCATTGTATGTGTATACACAGTATACCCATACAACGAAATTCATTTAACATCCAAAGACCAGGTCCAATACACATAACAATCCCCAAACACACTCCCACCCACTGCAATTCCCCACCCCTAAACCACCCAAACATCCACACAACAAACCAAGTAATGCTGTCCAACCGCTCATTGATGGTGGCCCTTTAGTTCATTGTTGAGTGCAATTATAGCTCTGGGATAAAAACTATTCAGAAAATGTGTGTGGTCTGAGTTTGAATTGTTCCATATCTTCTGCCAGAAGGCAACAGTCCAAAAAGATTGTAAGCAGGATGGGAAGAGTTTCTGAGAATGTTATGCAACTTTCTCAAACAGCAAGATTCAAAGATGTCATCCAGGGCTGGTAGCTAGAGTCTGAAGATATTCTGGGCAGTTTTAGTGATTCTCTGTAGAGCCTTTTTGTCCACTACAGAGCTGCTCCCATACCATGCAAGAATGCCATATGTCAGGACACTCTCAATGGTGCTGCGGTAGTAGGACAGAAGTAAATGCTGAGATAGATTTATCTTCCTGAGCATTCTCAGGAAGTACAGCCTCTTCTGTGCCTTCTTCACAAGCATGTTAAAGGGAAAGGATAGAGAAAAATGTTCTCTAGAGAAGAAATTCAGGAAACTGATGAAAATAACACAATAACAGAATTGGAAGGGACATTGGAAGTCTTCTAGTCCAACCCCATGTTCAAGTAGGATACCCTATACCATTCCAGACAAGCGGCTGTCCAGACTCTTGTTAAAAACCTGCAGTGTTGGATCACCCACAACTTTTGAAAGCAAGTGATTCTACTGATTAATAGTTCTAATTGTTCTAACAGTTCTAACAAAGGAAATTTCTCCTTAGTTCGAGGTTGCTTTTCTCCTTGATTAATTTACATCTATTGTTTTTTGGTTTTCCTCCTGCTCTTTCGGAAAATAGGTTGTGGCAGCCCCTCAAATATTGGAACATGGCTATCATGTCATCCCTAGTATATATAGTATAATATAGTATAGATAGTGTACTATTTATACTAATATCTATAAACCTATATCTAACAGTATAGATTGTAGATATGACTCTGTGGTCAAATGCATCTTCTTTAACACACTTTTTTTTATTGTTTGCTGTCCTGTACCTGTTCAAATCTTCACAGTCAATAAACCCTTGACTTTCTAAATTTTAATAATTAATTGCTTTGATTTCCCCCGCCCAAACTTTGACATAGCTGCTGACTGAAAAAGTTTCTCCTCTTTAGAAAAAAATAAAATTGCTTTGCCATTGTTATGCTACAGAAGTCTCTTATTATAAGATAGCTATTTTCACATTTCTGGTAAGTTTAGTGTTATGTAAATTTCCTCCCAGTTTTCTCCTTCAAGCATAAAGGACAGTAGTGGCCAAAATTGTGGAAACCTTTTGGGAAAAATGTATTTTCTAAAACTAGCTAATAACACCGCTTTTTTTTTTTTTGAGTAGTACCATAAAATTATATATCAATGGAAAGATAATTTAATCAAGAATGTAAAGCAATAGCTTTTATGAAGGATTTGCTATTAGAATAGCAGTTACAGTATAAAGAAGAAAAGTGAAACATGTAAGGAAAAAAATGAGATATACAAAAATTATTCCCATAGAACAGTGTTTCCCAAACTTTTGACATATGTGTACCCCTTCTATAATTTTTGTAATGCTGAGTACCCCTCATAAAAAACATATGGTACCCCTGGGGGTACGCGTACCACACTTTGGGAAACACTTAAATAACACTGCAATTCTCCGGCATTTAAACAGCTCCGTGGCTCAATGTCAACTGTTAATGTTCCCACAGTTTAAAAATGGCCGAACCCGAGCTGCGCGAAGGATGCGCAGAAGTTCCCGCGATAATGAGTTGCGATACGATGTATGATGGCCCCAGTTCCCGTGTAAAAACTGCGATATGCGCCTATTTCTTTCCTTGTTCTGTGGGCGCAGCTAAGCACGGTGCAGTGGATATTTCTACGTGATCCCAACCAAACTCCGGTGCAACGCGTACCCCCACCAAACTCTTCCCGTACCCCTGGGGGTACGCGTACCACACTTTGGGAAACACTGCCATAGAAAAAACGAGATATACAAAAACTATCACCATATCAGTTAATACTTAGTTGGGTAACCTTTAGCATGAATTACTGCCTTACAATGTCTTCCCATGGAGTGAACCGAGTCTTTTAGTTTTGCAGCTGTTATCATGTGAAATCAAGATTGAATGATTGCTTCTATGAACTGGGTTTTATTGCTGGGTCGCTTCTGACTAACAAGTTTCTTTAGTCAGTTCCATAGATTTTTCCATTGGGTTAAGGTCTGAGCTATTCCCGGGCCATTCCAGCAGTGGAACAGGATTATCTTGAAACTCCCAAAAAAGTGGTGTTATTAGCCATCAAACCTCAAAAATACACTTTTCCCAAAACATTTCCACAATTTTGGCCTCTACTGTATATCTAATAGTATAGATTGTAGATATGACTCTATGGTCAAATGCATCTTCTTTAACACACTTTTTTTTATTGTTTGCTGTCCTGTATCTGTTCAAATCTCCATAAAGTCAACAAACCTTTGGCTTTCTAAATTTTAATAATTAATTGATTTGATTTATTTTCCCCAAACTATCATGCAGCTGCTGACTGAACAGTGTTCTCCTCTTTATAAAAAAATAAAATAAAATTGCTTTGCCATTGCTATGCTACATATGAAATCACAGAAGTCTCTTATTATAAGATAGCTATTTTCACATTTCTGGTAGATTTAGTGTTTTGTAAATTTCCTCCCAGTTTTTTTCTTCGAGCATAAACTAGGTTTCCTGATCTAAGGTTTTTCCAATATAAAATTTTGTTGCATTAAAAACAAGCGATGTTTTTATAACATTTCAAATTCCAAACTGTAGCATCTTTTATTAGAAAGTATTCTCATTATGAAAGGAAACAGACACAAATGTGAAAGGTAAGAATTGCTTACTCTGGACTTTCAAAATACTCCTGAGAGGGATGCTGCTGGAATGAAACTTCATTAAATTGGTAGTTCGCCATGGATACCATCCCACCAATAACAAAGTCCCCTTCCTGGTACCATTCATTTGGAACAGGTATGGGTTCACCTGAATGACATGGCAGAGACTTCACTCTGAAGAGTGGAAATAGAAGAAGAAAGAACATTTGGGCCGCAAATGCTCTCTAGGTATAGACCTTCCACCACCAGTAGCATCCCATGTTGGTCTGCATTCACCAGCCTCAAAATTGCTGTTAAGATCAAAGCGGAAGACTAACTTTTAGCCCTGATTCTTCTTCTTATAGTGGTAATACTGAAAAATGTAGAGTTGAATGACAATGAATGACAATGTAGAGTTCCAGCAACACAACTTAATTTCGGGCAGTTAAAATCACAATACATGTATGTTCATTTCTTCTACTCCCCAGTCTCCATGGGGTGGTCCTCTTATATAGATATACTGTATATATATTTCTTTTCCCTAATGTCTTCTTCAATTGTTTACAGTTTTGACGGAGGGAGAAAATGATTATCATTGAAACAATTTCAGTGGGGAGTTCTGTCTTCAGCATTTTCTCTCCCACTGTTGACAATATATATATATGAAAAGGGGTAGTTGAATTTAATATTTCCTAATTTATTTTCTCTTTGTGATGCAATCATTTGAAAAGTTCAGAGGGGAACTTCAACTCATCAGAAAGCTACACTTTGAGCATTAAAACTTTGATCATTTTTCCACTTTTCAACTAAAAATGTTTTTGTGTTCACGCAAGGTTCACAATAACAATTACACAAATGAATTCCTTTAGTAAAATGAATGATTACAAATATCACTCCCCAGAACTTTTTGGAAATCAGAACATTGTTCCATATGTAATTTGTAGGCCTCCTTATGAATAACACAACAGATCAGTTAGGTTTAGCTGCAGGACCTGATCCACATCTATCTGAAAGGAATTGGTAATCAGGGAAAGGCAATTGTTCTGAGTGGAATGGGACTTTTAGTCTCTGACTTTTCATTCTCCTCGGGCATTTCTCCTTGGGCTATTCTCTCCCCCCCCCCGACTTATCTCCTCAGCTGGCACGCCTCCAGTCATTTGCCCTGGGGAATGGGCCACCGGCCTCTTCATCCCAGATCCTTCGACACGGCCAATTCACAGAAAGAGGGTTCGTCCTGGGTGTTCCATCCTCTGTGACAATTAGCCCCAACCAATTGGCTAGAAGGGGTGTAATAAAAATCCAGCCAAAGGAGAGAGGTGTAAAAGAATTTGCCAGAATGCCGGACTTCCTTTCTTCCTCTCTCTCCCCCCCCCACCAATACAGGGAGGAAAGTTGGTTTACTTTAAGTTAGTCTCACTAAATTAAATGCTAGGATTTAAATCCAGCGAAAGGAGAGAGGTGTAAAAGAATTTGCCAAAATGCCTGGCTTCCTTCCTTCCTCCCTCTCTCTCCCCCCCCACCAATACACTATTGGGGGACACTATTACTGAGTGGGCTAAAAGCCTCCCTCCCTCCCTCCCTTCCTTCAACCAGTTAGTTAACCAAGTCTGGAAGGGTCCAAGAGAAGAGAATTTTCCTTCCTTCCTTCCTTCCTTCCTTCCTTCCTTCCTTCCTTCCTTCCCTCCCTCCCTCCCTCCCTCCCTCCCTCCTTCCTTCCTTCCTTCTTCCATCCATCCATCCATCCATCCATCTACCCACCATTTCCCTACTTGTGGGGGTGGAAAGGGTACCTAAAAGAACCTATGACACTGTTATAATTGTAATGTCCCTTGTGATCCCATTTTTAATGTGTTCTCCTGTGATAGAAGTTTTAATATTCTTAAGTACTATATTCACATACCTATGTGGATATACACCATGAAATGAATTGCATGGTAATTAAGACATGAATTTTAAAAATAAATAAGATAAGATAAGATTAAAAAAAATCTATGTTTGTGCAAATTGCCCCAATTCTCAATATGCTGCAGAATATTTATGTAAAGTTTTTATAACTGTATTACTATTGGTTCATATATGAAATATATTGATTTGTTTCTTTTTCAATTTTGTTTTGTTTACTTCTTATTTGTTTTTATTTTCCTTTGTATTTTATAATTTGATAAACCAATCAGATTTGAAAACCCGCAGCAGCCCGCCCGATATAATTCCTGGATCATTGGACATTTCCTATTTTTTTCAACAGCCGCATGAATAGTGCTGCTGAATTTTGTCCAAACCAGTCTCTTAGGTTTTGAAGCCATGATGTTCTTCTGCTTGGATCTCATTTGCCTTCAATATTTCCCTGAGTGTTGCATCACATGTCCAAAATATTCTAACTTTGGCTTTTTAATGGCTTTGATGATTTCCCTTTGTTTTCCCAGACGGCTTATCACCTCCTCATTTGTGATTTTGTTAACCCAGCTTATACGTAACAGCCATCTGTAAATGCACATTTCAAATGCTTCTAGTTTCTTCAAGTGGTTTTCTGTCAGAGACCAACTCTCTACTCCTTAGAGCAGGATAGAAAATTTCACTTTTAAAAAAGGAAATTGCTAACAGAAAATCACGGTTCATCTTCAGCCTATGAGCTTTACATTTATACTTATATTTAAATTTCATATTTCTTTAAATGCAATTGAGTAATTTCAGACAGTTAGGTGGATAGTTAAAAAACTTTAATTCATTGACTTGACAAGAGGTCTTCTCTGGTTTTGCACAGTAAGTTCTGTGAGCCTCCCTATTCCATCAAGATTTCAGAGTTACAACTAAATCAGAATGGACCCCCCCTTCAAATAGAAAAAATACTTAAAATTTAATTTTGAATTTTGATGTTTCTCTTCTCAAATTTAAGAAAAAAATAAAAAGGTATTTAAACAAATCTTCTTATCAATTGTTCTCTGTTATTTAAATCAGACCTAAATACAATAATGTAACACTTGGGGAAAAAGATGCAACCTAGGAGCCCAGCACTGGAGGACAAAATGGAGAAGATCTCCACAGCCACCATGGCTTTTCCCCTGGTGCTCAGGTACGTTGGGACAAAGGAGACCCACACACTGCAGAAAGCCAACATGCTGAAGGTGATGAACTTGGCTTCATTAAAGCTGTCAGGAAGTTTACGAGCCTGGAAAGCCACAATGAAGCTGGCAAACGAAAGGAGGGCCATATAGCTCAGGACACAATAAAACATAACAACTGACCCCTCATTGCATTGTAGGACCATTTCTTCAGTTGTTGAATGCATGTCTAATTCTGGGAATGGGGGAGAGGTGGATAACCAAACAATACAGATGCTTGCTTGGAGTAGAGAGCAGAGAAGGACAATAGAAACAGCCAGTCTTTTCCCCACCCATGACCTTATCCGAGATCCTGGCTTGGTGGCCTTGAAGGCAAGAGAAACAAGGATAGTTTTGGCCAACACACAAGAGATGGACAATGAGAAGGTGAGGCCAAATGCAGACTGTCTGAGGAGACAGGTAACTCTCCCAGGTTTTCCAATAAAGAGCAAAGAGCAGAAGAAGCAAAGCAGAAGGGAGATGAGGAGAGTGTAAGTGAGATCCCGGTTGTTGGCTTTGACAATGGGGCTGTCTTTGTGCTTAATAAATGTTCCCAACACCCATGTTGTAGTGAGGAAAAATAAAGTAGCAACAGTAGTTAAAATGATTCCTAAAGGTTCTTCATAAGACAAGAAGCTAATTGTTTTCCTGATGCATCCATCTTTCTTATGGTTTGCATATTGATCATCAGGACATTGAAAGCAAGCAACAGTGTCTAAAAAGAAAAAAAACAATATCAACACAGATTCATGAGAATGATCATTATTAATTTTCATATTGATCCATACCCTGATGTTTATGCCTTTGTACCAAATATAGGACCTACAATATGAAAATTTCTTTGAACATTTCCCTATGTATATTTTGTGTGTTGCGGTATTAAGTCAAATATTACTTTGATTATACACAAGGAAAATTAGCAAACACCATGAAAATCCATGTTATCTTGATTTGCTTTCTTGTGATATAGGAGTGCTGCAATGAAGATTTATGAATATCTGAAGAGATTATTTTCATATTTAAAACCATATTGAGTTATTGAATATTGAACCATAATGATCACATTTCAAAATATGGTAGCTAAGTATAATATATTCACCAAATTCAAAGTGAAAATGAAAGATAGTGCATCAAAGGGGAAATTGTAAAAAGATGAGTAATTATGTATTTTAAGGGAAAACGAGAGAAGGAAATGGGATTAACTGCTTCTGTAATATATATCCCCTTTTATTATTTTTAATATTAAGAATATTATTATTTTTCCTTTCTTTCTATGTTTCTTTTACCATTTTATTTCTTGTGTTAACCCCCATAAAGAGAATATTGGAATCAGTCCGCATTACATATAAAATACATACTTAGCTATTACACACCCAAGAAGGGTGTTCCCCAAAGAAGAACATTTTGAGGAAAATATGAATAAGGATTTTTTTTAATGAAGCAAAATTGTGCAGAGATAGATAGATAGATAGATAGATAGATAGATAGATAGATAGATAGATAGATAGATAAAGTGACTTGATGGAAATGAAAAATAATTAAGTTTTAAAGTAGAAAGTGATTTAATTATATTTCTCATTATGTCTACAGGATTCTCATTATTATTAAAATATATGTTTCATTAGTTTGTCCACTCTTCCTAAGAAATAATGAATTCCATAAATTTCAGAAATTCTTGTTTTCATTATTCAAGAGTGTCCTTATTTAGTTAGTGCACATTGGAGGTTTTTGGATTCCATAGTACTGTAGTACCAAATGTTTCAATTTAGATAACAAGACATCAATTCTGAATTCCTTCCTTCCTTCCTTCCTTCCTTCCTTCCTTCCTTCCTTCCTTCCTTCCTTCCTCCCTCCCTCCCGCCCTCCCTCCCTTCCTTCCTTCCTTCCTTCCTTCCTTCCTTATCAGTCATTGTATTATATGTAGTTTTTAAATTGTACAATCACTTTATTATTTTTTATTTTTCACCTTTTTAAAAAAATCTCTGAAATAATTATTTCTCTGT